TCACGTGAATGTTCCTACTGAATGTCCATCACGTGAATGTTACTACTGAATGTCCATCACGTGAATGTTACTACTGAATGTCCATCACGTGAATGTTCCTACTGAATGTCCATCACGTGAATGTTCCTACTGAATGTCCATCACATGAATTTAACTTTTTTTATTTATTTCGCTTGTTTACATTTGATCAGTTTCATATTTGTTTAATTTTGTTTTATAGACAAAATGTCTTCAAGTTTTAAACTCCATACAACGTTTGATACTGAAAATGCCGATTGCATATTCTTTACACTGGTATAACATCAGTAAGCAATTTTGGTTTTACAAATATATTAAATGACTAGTAAAATTAGGGGTTTAAATTTACCAGAATTTGTTTACCAGGTATGTAACTCAATCTTCCATTTTTCAACTATATTTTTTGCTGACTTTCTTATAAGACTAATTATGTTTAACACTACTCTATATCACATTCAATGAATGTCCACTAAAGATGTATACTCACCCTGCAACACACAAACCTATACACAACAATAAGTAAAACCACCACCAAACTCCAAACGTCGACACTACCAGACATAACACCATTCCAGCCCATCCCCAACCCGGCAGCGACATCTGAAAAAACAATGACAACGTATCTTTATATAACTACTTAATATAATTTTTTAACAGCATATCAGGTCACATGTCAGTAATATGTACACCTTTTACAGACATACTTAACTTTTTAGCATGGGTTTAACAAAGTCTTGATACCATGATATGTTACTAACATGATGTACATTGTAACATGGATACAAGTATTAAAACATCAATGCAGGTTTGTAACATGTACACTGTTTAGAGACGTACCTAACACTGTACCATGGGTTTAATCAAGTGTCAACATCAACACAGGTTTGTAACAGTTTAATCAAGTTTTAACATTAACACAGGTTTGTAACATGTACACTGTTTAGAGACGTACCTAACACTGTACCATGGGTTTAATCAAGTGTCAACATCAACACAGGTTTGTAACATGTACACCGTTTAGAAACATACCTAACATTGTAACAGTTTAATCAAGTTTTAACATTAACACAGGTTTGTAACATGTTTAGAAACATACCTAACATTGTAACAGTTTAATCAAGTTTTAACATTAACACAGGTTTGTAACATGTACACTGTTTAGAAACATACCTAACATTGTAACAGTTTAATCAAGTGTCAACATCAACACAGGTGTGTAACATGTTTAGAAACATACCTAACATTGTAACAGTTTAATCAAGTGTCAACATCAACACAGGTGTGTAACATGTTTAGAAACATACCTAACATTGTACCATGGGTTTAATCAAGTTTTAACATTAACACAGGTTTGTAACATCTGGAATGATTGTAGCTTCACTGTATTGTTTTTATCAAAACTTCTCCAACAGAAGGTAGTACATCTTGCTTTGTACCAATGAAAATATAATTAGACATGTTGTCATACGAGATGTGATCATAAAGTTATTATATTAAGTGGTCTGGAGAAGTTGTCTTTAAATTTTATTATTGTTATAAAAAATATTTTTGAACAGCCTGGGAAAATACTTCAGAGTAACAGAAATGGAATCTAATAATCAATTAAGCTCTGGACTCATTAGTTAATTACATTTAACAAACTAATTCCACAATAGTTGGAATAATGAGATCCACTAATTGATTGTTTTGTGACATTAATAAATTCAATCATAATTTAAATTGATTATTCTACCTGACATAAGTCAATGCTCTAAGAATTGATTAATCAGCCAGTTCTTTTTGTTATTCTTGTGTGAAAAGAAACTTTCACTTACTATTACAGTAAGTTGATTTTCACAAATCAGTTAACACTAGATTTGTTTGTGTTCTAATAAAAGTTTATGTAACTAACAGATGAAAAGTTATCTAGCAGCTAATAAGAGCTGTTTATGAGAAGAATTTTCAGTTACTTGACTGTCATTTCAATGGATCTCCTAATGAATAAGCCAGCATGTTGACAAGAGTTAAATGTGCATCACTCAGTTTTTAACTTTATTGCTGGTTTATGGAGATCGAATGGAATAAGAAAAGGATTGAAACAATAAGTTTAATTCTTTGATATATTGTTTAGGCAAAGTATTCATACTGGAATGGAAGGCAACTGCTTGTTGTAAAAAAAAACAAGCACAGAGGATGACATTTCGAAAGTCTTCCATCTTTTGGTCAAGCTGCTGTTGGTTTCTTATAGTATCCTAATGGATTTGGAGGGTGAGGTGATTGGTTGTTCATCCCCAGTTCTGATTGATGGAAGGGCTGCATGTGCCTTCAACCAATGGTTGCACACCTTTAATTTCCAAATCTCTGTTTAGTGAAGGCTTTATTGTATTGATGTAGAAAGATTCTTTAATTTTTCTTCTGTTCCAAAATTGATGTGTTGATGATTCTAGTTTTATCCCAGTTGACATGATGTGATAATTGATGTGTTGATGATTCTAGTTTTATCCCAGTTGACATGATGTGATAATTGATGTGTTGATGATTCTAGTTTTATCCCAGTTGACATGATGTGATAATTGATGTGTTGAGATTCTAGTTTTATCCCAGTTGACATGATGTGATAATTGATGTGTTGATTCTAGTTTTATCCCAGTTGACATGATGTGATAATTGATGTGTTGATTCTAGTTTTATCCCAGTTGACATGATGTGATAATTGATGTGTTGATTCTAGTTTTATCCCAGTTGACATGATGTGATAATTGATGTGTTGATGATTCTAGTTTTATCCCAGTTGACATGATGTGTTGATGATTCTAGTTTTATCCCAGTTCACATGATGTGATCCACAGTGGCTGAATTTTGTCCCAAGTTGTCTTCCCATTTCTCCACTAGTTGTTTCATTTCATCAACATGGAATTTTAGAGATTATGTTCTTGTTTTTCATAAGTAGATTTCTGTGACAATCTATCCTCTACATTTATAGAGATAACTTTTTTAACAAGCCTTTTATGTGCCAACTTGTAAAGTATGTTCTGAAAATCTAGATACATCCAAATTCACACCTGCACCCTCAGCTCTTCAGAGAATGTCAAAAGATCAGTAAGGCAAGGTTTTCCCCTAGTGAAACCACACTGACAATTCCAAAAAATTTAAACATTGTTAAATAACTTTATAAATAATATTTTAATTCCAAAAGCTTTTCCACCACAGATGTAAGACTGAAAGGCCTAAAATTACTGGAATTATTCTTATCATCTTCCTTGAATATAGGTCTAACATTAACAATCTTTCAATCATCTGGTACCTACCCACTATTCAAGGACTTGCAAAAAAAAAATTAACCCTTGGGGAAATCTTACATAGTCTTGGAGCCTCTTCTAAACTTTCTTTAACAAACTCAAATGTGATCATCATGCTTCCATCTTACAACTATTCAGGACGAAGAATATCGCTTAAGTCTTAATTAGTCAAAATTGAAGGAAATATAGTAGAATTTAATACAGCCATCTAATACTCATCAGCAATGACCTTTCTCATCTCTCAATGGCTCTATTTCCATCCTAAAATTGTGTTGTTATTGCTAATTTTTACAGTTTCAGCCAACCTTTTTCCATATATACTAGACACAATTTTCATAATAAGCAATGAGCCTTTCTCATCTCTCAATGGCTCTATTTCCATCCTAAAATTGTGTTGTTATTGCTAGTTTTTACAGTTTCAGCCAACCTTTTTCCATATATACTAGACACATATTTCATAATAAGCAATGAGCCTTTTTCATCTCTCAATGGCTCTATTTCCATCCTAAAATTGTGTTGTTATTGCTAATTTTTACAGTTTCAGCCAACCTTTTTCCATATACTATACACATATTTCATAATAAGCAATGAGCCTTTCTCATCTCTCAATGGCTCTATTTCCATCCTAAAATTGTGTTGTTATTGCTAGTTTTTACAGTTTCAGCCAACCTTTTTCCATATACTATACACATATTTCATAATAAGCAATGAGCCTTTCTCATCTCTCAATGGCTCTATTTCCATCCTAAAATTGTGTTGTTATTGCTAGTTTTTACAGTTTCAGCCAACCTTTTTCCATATACTATACACATATTTCATAATACCCTATTTGAATAACTCT